AAATTTCATTAATTAATTCATTTCAATGGCTACTATGTAGTGTTTGTTTTCTAAAGAAAACTAAAAAGGTGAGTGAACAGAAGATCTAAAACTGGGATTTTCAAATAAGAAGTGCAAAAAATGCATAATCAACATAACAAATTAATAAATTTGGAAAGAAAATGTGTCAGTTTACATTATTTCGAAAACTGTTTCTATTATTTCAGGAACAAAGAAGAACATGGATTATCCTTTGGCATGTTCATTTCTTATACGGATTTCTGTTTCATGAATTCGCAAACAACGATTGCCCCAGAATTATATTGTTTTCTGTGTGAATGAAAAAAAAATATTTTTGACGCCTTTTATGTGGAACTGATCACAATAACATTTTTTACCTGTAAGGGATTTTTCCTCTGTCAAAGATAGACAATGTGTTTGAATGTGTTTTGTACCCGCCAGAAGAAGATGTAAAGCGATCAGGATGCAGATGTTCATTTCATAAGCGATCCCTTAGTATCGATTACTTTCTATGTCACGCTGCCACACGCACAAAGGAACCAATGACAGGGAATACATGTTGCATGTACTTTTCATGAAAATAAAAGAAAACTGCTTTGAAAAATGGTTCGATTTCAATCCAAATTGATTTTAACAGATTATTTGAAATTTAATCATTTTTTCTCTTATTTCGTATGAATAAATTCTCATTAACTATTGAGATGAATTCGTCTTCCACAGGTGAAATGATACTATTTTATAGAGCTCCTGCACCTACCTGCATTTAAAGGGATCCAAGCATATGGATTGGTGCGATTCCTGCTGTTACTTAGAATAATTACTTTTATCTAACCATAACTAACAATGTAAGGATCATAAAAAATTGCTACAAATATATCATAACCAATGTGATTATACTTGTAGAGGCGTAATCATCCACGTTTTGCGATGAAGAGATACATACAAATTGCTCAATTACAAGTAATTTTAAACGAAGGACAATTCAAGTCATTGGTACTGCGTAAAATAGAAATAATGTGTATTTTCTCTATTAAATTTATAAACTTTTTAAAAATATATTATTTTGCTTTGAAAGGTTTCGGTTCACTTTTTTTACTTGCAGGAAATTTAAAACTTTAACTAAAGGAAAACTGAAGCTTATTAGGGTAAAGATTGCAGTGATAGCGCGTTGCGTGTGTACTAGGACTATGGAGCGCACAGTCTGTGTTCAGATATCATAAAGGTATGGTCTACAAACAGGCTTTAAAAAATCTTTAAATAATACTTGCTAAGAATATTGCAAAAATCGCATTTTACAGAGGCTTAACTGTATCTGGTATTACGAGAGACCAATATGATAATACGTTGCTTTTGACTAATCCGGTTAAACTAACCTCCCCTAACCCATTTTAACTGGGGGTCATTTATTATTTTATTAAAACAATAGGTTAATTAAGTAATTAATCTATTGTATATTAATCTGTTAGCATATCGTAATAGTGAGTTCAGAAAATTTTATAAGTTATTTAAAAAAAAACAAACATAATGGGTCTATATTCTATATAATATATATTAAAAACAAGAAATGCGTTAAAAATAAATGAAAATAGTTTTTCTCATGTAATATCATATAAAATTGGTATCAATTTTTAACGCCATCTAGCGATTAAATTCCTGATTTTATAAAATATATAATAGAGCTTATATTCTCATGCAAACTGTTTAATAAATTATGATAGGAAATTTTAAGGATGGCTTCGCTCTTATTTATTTTATCTTTATTTGAATATAAGACATACACTACCTTGGGTTCTTATGCATTTATTTGCGTTTGCATGTGAATAGGACTTACATCCACAATCACTTTTATTCTATTTTTATTCTTTTTATTTTTTTTATTGGCTTTTGCAAATGCCTTCTTGATATAAGAAGAATTGCGGAAATGATTTTGGATTGTTTTTTCGTCGCTTATTTTCATTTCAGAGTTCTAAGAAGAAAAAAAGAGGTTACAACGCATTAATGATGGAATATAAATTCGAGCAGTTATTGGCTTTTAGGAATGGAACTATTAGAATATATCATATATAGGATAAATTTTTGAATAACGTTAAACCACTGGGTTCGAGCATTTTGTATAGGAAATGCTTGATGGAGTTTGTTATCTCCTTATAAACAAAACCTACAATTTCTAATTGCTGTTAATATATCGAATATGTGGGTTGAAAGGTTGATCTTTTTCTCAAAAAATAATACAATACTGTTTATTAATTTTTGATGTTTTTAATCAACAATGTGCTGAAATGCGAAGATAAAAATTTGCATCTTGTCGTATTTTTATAGTCATTGACTACCTTACAAATACAAAAAGTCAATATCATATCATAACATCTTACATGTGTCAAAAGAAAGCATATTTCCAAGGTCTGGTTATTTAAAATTGCTACTAAACCTGATGTGTCTTAGTACTTAGTACTTAGTACTCTTTGTACTCTTGTTATATGCAATCATTTGAGTGTGTCATTAATTATTGAAATATTTTATAATAAAGCAATAAACTGCTATATGTGTATCACACTTACAATAAAAATGATGAACACATTTATTTGCTGTTCACATTTGAAAATGTTTACCTTAATTTCACCAAATTCTCTAACTATCGGTTTAGAAACTCATTCCACAAATAAACGCAAGTTCAAAGTCTAGTAAGAATCTGTAAAGAATCGATTTGTAGCAATGGGTAACAATTTGGACTACACAATTCTCATCAGCTATATTTGTTTTATTCGTATTCCATTACATTCTTTTGAAGAAGTAAAGTTAAGATGGATAGTAAATTATGTATCCATCTTTATAAGCAAGTCGCTACAAATCGAAATCAAATTTTAATTAAATTCTAAACAGCAGAGGATGAAAAGCTCTCTTTTTATTTATGCCTAAGCATGCGAGACAAAGATTTCCAAGTTGATTACTTCCATTCAGTTTTTTAAGGAAAACTCAGTTGCGTGGTCAGTTGGTTAAGAAGCGCTGATTCTTAGTTTCAAATTTGACAGAGTAAAAGTTGGGTTCCTGGTACTTGTACTTTCAAAAAATTATTTACAAATAATTAAATAAATTAAATTAATTAAATACAAGAATTATTTCCATGACCACTGATGATGGGTATTTGGCAATACTCGAAACAGCTGTATGGTCAGCCAAAAATTCAATTAATAAAAATAATATAAAAAAGAATTCTTGTTGTTGTAGTTTACTACTATTCGAAAACCTCTTTAGGAAAACTCATATAAAAACTCATGGGAGCTTTATCGTATCTATTTAAACGAATATATCCTGAATACAAAACACCTCGAGAAATTAGCAGATTAATTTAACCCCGCAAAATCTTGAAAATGATTTCGAAATTCTTCAGAATAATGCTTAAAGACCAGATCACAAAAATGTTTAAAAAAATGCATTAAGTTTAGTGGTAGTCAAAAATATTCAAGCTCTTATCTTCCGTATCGATTTACTACGGTGTTAATAATGAAGGAAATATTCGGTGAAAATTTAAAATATTTTTCAAACGATTGAAATTATATTCTATGTATATTTATAATAATAATTTAACTATATAATAAAATAAAAATATGTTTATTTACAAATAAAGCATAAAGTTTTATGTATATTGCAAAAATCAAAATTTGTTTAAGTTTTATTAAAATTTATTTATATAAGAAGAATATATATAAGAAGATACTTCAATGCATTATCTGTAGTACTTCATGTTTTCAATTCAAATACTGTTTTTACCAGCAAAAGCAAAAACTTTAAATTAACATTTCGAAAAGAAACACTCTGTGTTAATCATAATATTTTACTTAATACTTTTCCGCCTTTGACTTGCAATGATTTTCTGGCATTTGAGGTAGGTTATATTAGATAAATACGTCATCCGAAATTTTATTCAATAAATATGTTAAGCATTCAAAGTTAAATTAGAGAGTACATCCAATTTCTGTTATATTTAACATAAAGAAATACTGTTCAATTATTTATGTTATCAACAGAACTAAAAAGTTTTGGATACATTTCTCAGAGTTTTAAACGAATACATTTAAATAGAGTTACCATTATTTTGCATTCTGAACTAAAAATGTTTTTAAAAAACAAAATTAATAACGATTTTTTTATTGTATTGAAAATTAATTATTTAAAATGTATGAATATTGTATTTACTAATATTATTTCAATATTGATATTCATATAATGTAGTAATATATAAATTAATTATCAAGTCTCATTGGTAGTACTTTTTACCTTCTAAGTAAAACTGAGTAGTAGCAGGTTAGGATGATATACTTAGCAACACCAAACTTTGACATTTTTCTTTGTTGTGTTTGATTTTACCATACTCCACCTTACTTTCATCTATTTACATACATATATGTACATATTGTTTTTAACATAAGCATCGGTCTTAAGTCACTTATCTCAATTTGTAACATATCATATTCAATCTTTAGTCAAATTCTTAGTTATGTAATATTATTTACTGCATTCCGATTTTAAGACATAACCAATATGTTAAATATTTCGTGGAGTTGGTTACCATAGATCCAGTATTTAAGATACTGTTATTAACAGAGGAGTAATGATTGTAATTGCTTATGTAAGAACAGCTGTTATTTTAGTTCCACAAAGGTTTCGTTTTCAAAGCGTCGCGAATGAATGTTCATTCTGTTTTTTGATTTTGTCGAAAGCGGTCGTTAGTGTAAGGGGCGGTTTTCGGTTGAACGGATATTTTAAAGCAATAACAATCGGTTTTGTGTAAATAGAAGAAATTATTAAATAAAAACAAAATATTAAACGTGATTACTTTGAAAGAATATAACTAAAAAGCAATAAAACTAATTTTAAATAATCTCACCAATGTTGTGTATAAAAAGCATATATATTTTATTAAATAATTTATAGAAAATAATATAATTGAAATTATAAATTTGTGAATGTGAAAATTATGGTTACAATAAGAAAAAAACAACTTTATATAAATTAATGCCATTAAGAGTTGATATATTTGCTGGAATTAAACTGCAAGAAATTTGGATAATTTTTGCCGTATACATTTTTGTACAAAGTAAGTTTCTCAGTAATAATAATAATAATTTATTTTGTCGATGTGCTTAATATTAATAATTTGAATTTCGTGGATTGTCTAAATATCTGAAAGACATGAAGAAATACTATTAAATTTGTGCTTAATAATAAATGACACGATTTGCATGATTGTGTGTAAGTTTGTGTGTGTGTGTGTGCTTGTATGCATGTTCCTTAACGCATGAATGGCTCATTCAGCTAACGAGTAGTTAAGCACCAGTGGTACGGTGTAAGTTAACAGCATCTTTAACCTACATCCTCAGCAACGGCAAAGCGGATTTGTCTTTGCAAATTACAGAAATAAAACGAGAAACAAAAAAAACGTGGAACGGAGTTCATTGCACACTTGTATTTTACCTTTCGCAGTTGTTTTGTTTTTTCTCATGTTTTGCTTTTGCCTTTAGAAAATTTGAAATAGGAAGCAACCAGACATTGTGCATCCAAAATCGTTTCCAACTCGACAGAGAAAGTGTGTGTGGTGTGTGTGTGTGTGTGTTGGGTTAGAGATTTCAGTGGTGCTCCTTCTTCTTTTGAGTGATGCGAAAGTTGTTAAATGAAATAAATTGGAAGTGATTATATTTAAGTATTTACCAAAGCGCTGTAAATGGTACGAATGCCTTGAGTATTTGAATGAGTTCATTTCTGTTTTTCTGTTTTGTTTACAAGTTGCATGATGTGCCTGTGCCCCTGTCTGTTCAAAGTTTCGAAGGAGAAACGGTGAAGCGGAGGAGCGCAACAAAACGAAACAAACGAAATGTTTGTGGCAACAGTATCGTTACATTACGACATCGAATTTGAAATGTTGCTTCTTGCTTTCTTGTCTGTCTAATATCTGTTTTGTTTATTTAATTTTTTTAATTTATTGTTCCATTCAGCATTTGCTGATCGCTACACCAATTGAATGGAGTTTCGATTTTCAAAACGATAAGTGAGTCTACCATTGTTCGAAACTTTATGTTAAATGCCAAATTACTTCGCTGGTGTGAATCTGAACGGGTTCGCACGCGGGGCAGCGGCGTTGTACCTTCATAAAGACGATTATGATACGGGCGAACAAATGCATTACGTATTGATTCAATGCTCAATTGTCATGCTAACCTAGGCGCTGCTGCAACTAAACATTTATTGACGTTAAAGGTTAGGGGTTGAGGAGAATTCCACCATTCCAAGTCTGTGCATTTATAATTTTATTGATGAAACCTCCCAGCGGGACTTTCAGCGCTGAGGGAATCGATTCCCTCAGCGCTGAATGGTAATGCCTAGCGCTGATTATTCAAAGGAAACTCCTAATTACTTTAACACGTGCATGTCATTGCGGGCAAGCGCTGAATCGTTCGATTACCTTTTCGTATTTGTAATGCAACATATCAGCGCTGACATGTTCGCTTACTTTTTCGAATTTGTAATGCAACATATCAGCGCTGACATATTCGCTTACTTTTTCGAATTTGTAATGCAACATATCAGCGCTGACATGTTCGCTTACCTTTTAAATTTTACCTATGCTATTGATTTTTAAATAAAATACTATAAATTTTTTTGGATAAATTATATTTTATATTTATGTTTTATACAATTAAAATATTAATATTTACATAAAAAAATATAACATACTTATATATATGAATATTTTTCTGGAAATTGTTACTAAAACCTTGAAGAGATTTCCAGACTCGACTCGATCACTTGTTCCGGCTTACCATCTGTACTTAAAGCATCTGTAAATACAAAAGTATGTTATTGTATACGCTAAAGTTAATTATGTACAATATACCATACCAAAAAGTGCTGCTGTCACATTCTCTAACGCTCTTAAGGACTTCTTGCCTTGGGTACCATTCTCAAAATTCCAGAAATTTTCGCGTAATTGGTTTTTTTTAATAACGCTTCATTGATGCAGTCTATAAAAACGTAATAGATGAAAAGAAATGTATGAATTAGTAAAATTGTTACATGTGAATATATTAATAAGTTGAAATTGAAAGTAAGAAACGTATATAATTTAACTTACAAATACTTCAACGGCAGTGATTTCTTCATTAAATTGAATTAAATCCTCCTCAGTTTGAATTGTAAAATTTTCCAATTGAAACAGCTGACTACATTTTACCCCTTGCTTTAGAATGACTCGTTCTTGACGCAGTAGCATGTACATAATACAAAACAAAAATTTCAATTATCATTTTAAATATATTTACTTAATTTTGCATATACTTACAGTGAGTTTATGTGAAATTACAAATTATATTTTATTTATATTTTTGTTTTTTATTTGATTTTAAAAATTAAAAATTGTTCACTGTTCGCACTTCACTAAAATCAAAAGCAGACTAAATGTATACAATGTAGGCAAAACAAGAAATTCTTAACTCATATGCTTTTTTTATTCATTCTTTTATAATTTCAACCCCGAAATTGCATATGTCGAACACAAATGTCGAAAACAAAGAAAAATAAAAACGAAGAGCTATTACCTCCTCGCTTACTTTTTCAGCGCTGGCATAATGGTGCCGCTGGGCTCTGTTGCTCTGTTGCTGTAAAAACACATTTATTTGCATGTGTGCGTGTGTGTGAGTGTTAAGTTTTACTTCGTTAGGCATAAATCTGCATAAAACGGCATTTAAATTGACAGTTTTTGAAATAAAAAAGCTCATTTCAACATAAATACTTGCTTGAGTTCAAAAACGACGGATCTGATAGAAAATCTTGTACCTAAACAAATAACAGTAAAATAAATGCTTAAAACATTTGTCTCCGCTGTTGTTAATGCGGTTAATGGTAACGGTTTTTGTGACGACTGTCATCAATTCTTTTGAATAGAAAAAAATGATTCTTTTGTTAGAGTTTGTTAGAGTATTGTCTTCAATCACAAAATCTTTGCTTTCATCTGAATATTCTTATGAAATATTGACGATAAATTAGTTTTAAGATTGTAAAATACATAAATAATTAAATATTAATATTTAACCATAAATTTAATGAAAAGGAGTGGAATATTTCCTCACATATTATTGCTTCTAAATTCCTCTGAAATTTAAAAAAATATTTTTTTTTATTTACCATTAAGTTGCAAGTACATACTTCCTTGAAGATTTTGGTTAATTGACTTTAGGCGTTGAAGATATCACAACCGGTGTTTAATGGTACGTTAATATCATCGGATGAACTTAAAGCATTCTAAGTGCATCCACCATTGGTCAGTCAATCCTTACATCAACCAATATCAACCTATACAAAATGTTGGTACGACACTCCTCTAACTGGTATTCCGATCAACAAATATTTGATGAAAGCATTCATCAATTTTTGACATTTAAAGTTTTCTGTACGAAATTTATTCGCCAATTATTACTAGTAATTATTATTATTTTTTTTTTTGCTTGAGCAAAATTTGCGAGGGAGCTTAAGAAAAGAGAAGAGAAAACTACTATGCAAATGTTAACACACATGCAATGTGAATAAAAAGTGAATTTGCAACAAAAACGGTGTTGTTTTTTTTTAGAAATTTATTTAAGTTTATAGTACGAAACATTAAACTATTCTTTGTAAATGCGTTAATAAAATTAAATTAAATTAATTAAATATTGACTTGTATCATATCTAGTTGTGCGAATGGTAGATCAACAAAAAATAATCTAATATTATTACTTTAATAAATAAAAATTATTAAAATTATTTATTATAAATAATAAATTTGATATATAAGCAATGTACAAAGAAAAAATAAAAACATTTCTTGAACATAACAAAATGTTTTATTCAAAGATAAAATTTAATCAGTAAAAATATGTACAAAATTTATTACTTCATACTCACCTTTTATTGCAGCTATCAAAGATTTCTGAAACTGCGATTTTTTTTTTATTTTGCTCACCGAAGTTCCGGTGTTCGAAAGTTTTCGACATGCCGCTGTTGATTTTTCGATGTAATCACAATTCTTAGCTTTTAGCGGCTTGCTGGTGCGCATCATAAGGCCATTCCAAAAGCGTTATTATCGGCAGTTGGAACAATACAAAAAATATTTTATTTACATTTGAATGAGTTTCTCATAGTTTTACACTTAAAAGATATTTGACTATTAGAAGTGAAAAAAAACATTTTGAGGTGCAGCAAGATTGTTTATGTTTTCGTATTTGCTTTGACTTAGGGATTTTCTATTTTTGATATTCTCTATACAAAACATTAACGATAAAACAATATGTTTGACTGACTAAATAAACAGAGAAAGCATGAATGTAGATAAATAAATAAATAAATACATATTGTTTATTAATGCTTCGATGTGGTTTATTTGACTTTATCGCACTTGTTTATATGAACATATTCCCGATACAAAACAACAATTGTCGTTGTGCTGAAATGTCAGTCATCAATCTGATTAAGCATATCTGACACTTTAACTTTACACGCGGGACTCAAATAACAGATAAAGATACATTCGCACTTGCGTCATACGTTGCGTTACATTATGTCTGCTTCTTATTTATGTGCATTAAGGACACTTAACATTCATAAATTAGAGAGTTGGAGTGTATGAAAGTGAGTCGCATGAGTGCTTTCATGTGGGTCTTCTCCATTCTTAAGTACTTATCTTAAAAGCGTTTTATCGCTCGACAATTAGGAGAAACATAGATATTAACACTAAGGCCTAGTTGATTCATTTTTTATATTTCTTCTTCGAAAATCTAACATCCAATTTTATTTTTCACAAAATGTTTCGTTAGCAGTTGTGAAACATTAAATTCCAATTGCAAACTTCACAATACACTTTCGGTTTGCTATTAATGACTCTTAACTATGTGGTTTGGTTGTTGCACATAAATCAACTTCATAGATATAAACCCATGTTTTCGTGTATTTATATCGTACTCGTATTTTCATATATGAGTATGAGTGTTTTGCAGTATTTTGCAGTATTTTGCTACCGAGTCTGTAATACGCAATTTATTTCAATTCTCATCCTTTCCCTTTCATATAATGCAATGCACTATGTCGCAGCAACCGCAACGACATTTTGATCACTTTCATTCCTGACCACCACAGCTCACCACAACGCCTTGTATTGCACGAGTGTCAGGTCGCATTGCTCCAGATATTTGCTTCACTGCAAGTTTCGAACAGTAAAATGGCGCGCAGGCAGTCAGGCATCCAGGCAACCTGCCAAGAATTTGGTTAGTTACTGGTCTATATTACATACAGCGAAAGGACAAAGGAGCAAACCAAAAAATACATTTGCTCCGACAAAACATGGTTCGAAGAAGAAGAATGGTTCGAAGGGAAGCTTAACATGATTTCATTGCTTTATATATATTTTAATACTATTTCTGGTAGCAAACTAATAAATGTGTTATTTGCGTATACATTGGGACTGCATGTAATTGGCCGTTGTATAACAATCATTCAAACAAAACATTCACGCAATTATGAGGGCTTAATTGCCTAAACAGAGTCTATAGAATGCAGAGTGGTTTCCGAATATGTTGAATGCACGCACTCGTATGCGGGTTTCATGAGAACAGAACAAATTAACAATAATCATTAGATAAAGAAAAGAAATAAAAAATAATATAAGCGATGAGGTTTTCTTATTATGAAGCATGAAATTCTTTCATATCTTAGAACTATACTGAATTCTATATTTTAAGTGTGTTCATAAATGTTTAGTAAATAAAAATTACACCCAAGTTTTTTTGATAAATCGTTATTAATTAGAATTCAAATTTCAATTTATAAATGAAAATCGTTTTGGACAATATACTGGTTTTGTTTTTTCAATAAATGATAGTCTCAGTAATACTAATCAGCTTACCCAGATCCAATTTGCTTGGATGAGGAGTACCTGAAAAAAACTTTGAGTAGATATATATACAAAATGTCTTCACTTAGTAGTTCAAAAACAAATTTTATCATTCTTAAGGTTTAACAACTTAAAGTGAATCGTTTACGTATATTAATTGAGAACTAGCTTTCTTATAATAACCAAAATACTCTCCAACTTATGCATTTTTTTACCACATGTATCGCACAAATTTATCAGTTATAATTCAAAATGTTACTTCAAAGATTATTAGTGCGTTTACATTATGCGAAACAACGCATTTTACAATTAATTTGATAATTGTTTGGCAATTAGTCGCGTTTCGTATATAAAAATGCTCGAAGTAATGTAATTTGGAACATAAATTCATTGATTTATGAAAATAATGCTACATAGTATTCCAATATGGCAGCTAAGTGGAATCTGTTGATATAAGAGCAAATAGCAAATAGCAATTACAAAAACAAATTTTTAAAACTGTTAAATAATAATAATTTATTTACTGAATACGGGTTCAATGTTATCTTTTATAATATTAGATAATAATTTTGCTCAATTTCATTTTATTAAATTTATTTCTCAACTTTTTACTATTCGTGTTTACTCTCTGTTCTCTAATTGAATTGCCGTCGTGTAGACATTTAATCTTAATCTCGCGATTATCGCTAATTGTGGTCCGTTAATTGTGAAGTGTAAACATAGCATGTGACGTTACGTGGAGAGCACTTCATCACACGGCACGCCCAACGATACCTGCCCTGCCAGTAATTTTCACTGCTTTCGTTCTTGTTGCTGTGTACCATTTTTGACAAAATGTGGCAGCATGAGATATAGAAACCTAAGTGGTTATGCATTGTGCACTATTCTTAGTTATAATGAAATTTATGCGAATTTATTATGCAATTTCTAAGTGCAATGTTAGACTACGAGTATTTTGCAGCACTTCAGTTTCGATGCACTGCATCCCTGCACCTCACGTTCGTCACCTTGTATTCATGTTGTGTGTCGGTTTGTACTGAAAAGTCAGTAAATTATTATTCAGAAGTGAAGCGCACGTAGCTTCATTGACTTGTGTGTTTATTCTTGGAAATGTGTAATATTTGAAAGTGCGGATTTTTTCATCACTGCGTTTGCAGAAAATGCATGAAATGCTGAAATGTAATTAAGTCAGAAGAATGCGTCATCGAATATACCAGGTCAAGGTTATACCTTCGCGTCACTAATGATATTGCTTTATTTTCACAAATGCTATATCCTTCTTTTGATGAAATTAATTATAAAATTTGTTTAAATTCAATTGCAGCTATTAAAACTTCTTGAAATTGTAAAAGTTCGCATGCAACTTTGCCAGCAAAATAACAAATGACCAAAAGAACAACAACAACAACAACAAAAACAAAACGAAAACAAAGTAACGTTTACCACCAGTCGGATTTGATGCTGCCACATTAATCATAATCACTTGTGCAAGTGATAAGCAAAAACAAAAACAAAACAAAAGCACGAAATAACATAATACAACAAAACGTAGGTAAACACAACACAACACAACACAGCACAACAGGACGGAACGGAACAAAGTAACAATAGAGAAAAAAAGTAAACTAAAAAAAACGTGAAAGGAGGAATTGAAGCTCTTGCAACACAAAATTCGCACAAACGACGTGTAAGTGGTTAGAGGGGAAGCAGCATTTGCGTTTCATCCTTAAGGGGACATAAGGTGAAGCTAACGTGAGTAGTCTGGTGCTGGCAACTGACACTGTTAAATGTAATTTGGCCGTTGTGCATGCGAAATTCAATGCTAAAAAACAAAATAACGAAGAAGACAAAGAACAGAACTCGACTGCACATTAACAACAGGAAAATTTAAAACACAAATTGCTTCTGGTTTGTGTGCGAATGTACATATTTCTGTCTGTTAAAAATACTGAAAATACAAAAGAACAACAAAAACTACAACAGCAAAAGCAAAAGCAAAAGCAAAAGCAAAATTGTACAATCACATCACATCACATGGCATAAGTTGTTAGTTGTTCTTGAATAGACTAAAAAATTAACATCACTTTACAGCGGCAGCAGCAACATCAGCAACAAAAGAGAACAACAAAAACAAAAACAATAATAATAATAATAATTACTATTAAAACAGAGTGAGATAGCGTTTTTTCCGTTGAGTTTTTTTTTGCATACTGCGCTGATTCCTAAAAGATTTACATGTGAAGACATTGACCATATTAAATATTTTTGCTTATAGAATATAGCTGGCATTCAACATATTTTTGACCCACATATTTATTATCTGCACACATATACGGATATTGTGGTATGTGTGTGTAGAGAGAAGTGTACATAATAAAATATAACTGTGTAGAGAAATTAAAAAGCAAAATAAAACAATAAAAACCGCCTACTTTCTTTGAAAAATGGCTACGTCCAAACGTCATTCAAGTTTATCGCTGTCATCGTTAATCACACTTTTTAAATCCTGCCTCCTCGTGAGTAGCTGTTTTTTGCTGGGTGCTGTAAAATTGAGTGAGGCGGCTGTCGTTGGATTAGGGAGCAACGGTGGCACTGGAGGTAATGGTGGCGGTGTGTATGAAATGGCCATGACTTGGGATCATGCCGTTGATTTAAATGAGGATTTTCGTATTTTATGGACAATCATTAATCAGGATGTAACGTTTGAAATTCAAGCACGTACCTTAGGGTATGTCGGTTTTGGTTTCTCAAACGATGGCAACATAGCTGGTGCGGATATGGCTATTGGCTGGGTTGACAACGGCCACACATTCTTTCAGGTAAGCAGATTAGCAATAAAATGCAATTTTGCTTAAAAGTTTTGGATATTTATTTAAATGTTGCTTACTGATTTGTTTTTTCAATAAAATTTAAATACAATTTAAAAATAATAAAATATAGTTTATGCGCCTTGTTGTAAATAAGTTAATTAAGAATCACTTTTATATTTTGTGAAATATGTAGGATCGCTATGTGAAAGATAGTAAAAATGTCGAGCCTTTAGTTGATCCTTCCCAGGACTACATATTAATAATGGGCTATGAAAACATAACTCACACGGTAATTCGGTTTCGACGCAAGCTTGACACTTGTGATAATACTTATGATATCGCAATAACAAATAATACAATGCGAGTAATGTACATGTACGATGACAAAGATCCAATACACGGCGCTGTAAGCCCAGGCTCATTACCCAACCTCAATGATGCCTGGCGTCCTTATCGCTCTCTGTTGTTAACACAAAAGTCCACCCAACAATTGCCACATAACGAACGCAGTCGCATATTGGAGTTGCGTAACGCGGATGTCGAACTTCCGTATGGCGATGATACGCTTTTTTGGTGCAAAATGTTCAAACTCGACCGGGTGAATAAAAAGCATCACATTATACGGGTAAATTGAAAAAAGTTGCAAAAAAAGAAAAAATAAAAAATAAAAAATAAATAAAACGATGGAATATGAAACGTAAACTAACAATATTATTTTCCGTCTAGTACGAGCCAATTTATGATTCATCATGGAGTCTTCACTATCTTCAACACATTACTGTGTATGAGTGTCAAGGCAGTAGTGATGAGATGGAAGAAATGACGCGCGAAAAGGGTCGCATGTGTATGGGAGCACGCAGCATACCGTTGGCCTGCAATTCCGTCGTAGCGTCATGGGCACGTGGATCGGAAGTAAGTTTGTGCCGTAAATGTTTTGTGGGTGTTTACCATAAAATTTATGTGCATTTTTTTTTTTTTTGAATTTATTAGGGTTTCTCTTTTCCTTCTGAAGCCGGATATCCATTAGAATCAAATCAAGCAAAATATTACATTATGGAAACACATTACAGCAATATAAAAGCGGATTTAGAACAGTTGCAACTACAAAGAATAACTGATAGTTCCGGTCTTAGAATTTATATAACTGAAAATCTAAGAACACATGATGCTGGAGTTTTATCTGTTGGTAAGTGTGCCAAAAGGAAAACGTTAAATGCACATTTTGAACATATATATTAACAAATATACTTATACCTATGTATTTTTAAAATAAAATTGCATATAGGAATGGATTCTAATTGGCGTCACATTATCCCACCCGGTCAAAACCAAGTTATTTCAGAAGGTCAATGCATCGAAGATTGTACCGCATATGCATTTCCAGCACAGGGAATTAACATTTTCGCCGTAATGATGCGAACCCACCAAATTGGAAGAGAAATCAAATTGCGTCAGGTAAATTTTTGTCTTGATTATTCACAGCACATTCTTACTCGTATAAATACCTATTTTTCTATTTTAAAATTTTATATATTGAGGCTTTTATTTAATACGTGGTGTTTTGCTTTTTGTTGCTTTCATTTTACAGATACGAAAAAGTGAGGAGTTGCCCTTTATTGCACACGATAGCAACATTGACGCTAATTATCAAGATTTTCGCCGCCTGGAACACTCGGTGCGCTCCTTGCCTGGCGATAGATTAGTTGCGGAGTGCATTTATGATAGCACATCACGCCAGGCTATTACGCTGGGTAAGTAATTGCGCTTGTTTAACTGTTTTGAGCCTTTGTACCTAAAACACGTATGCGGCTAAATGAATTTTTGAAATGGCGTTAAGAGCTAATAAATGCTACTTGTGTTGCGCTTCCGTCATTATATATTTTCCTCTAAATTGTGTTATTTTACAGGAGGTCTAACGATGAAGGAAGAAAGTTGTACTGTTTTAACGCTTTATTATCCGCGGCAAAAAAAATTAACTACATGCCATTCGCTACCGAGTTTACCGACAGTGTTGCAATCACTGGGCATAGAGCAGTTGGCTACGTAAGTTCGAAAAGCGTTGGTTATGCAAACATGTCTTAACTGCTTTGTTCTTAATGAATCTTACAGAAGTTCAAATCCAGTTGTTATTTCATTACCGCCTGAATTAGCGGGTATGACACTGGAAAATCGTCTGCTCTCGTATGACTGGGAAAATCAATTTGACAGATTTCAAGAAGCTACGCTTAGTGGGTCTTTCAAACCAATTTGTTGGGGAGCTCGAAATGAAATTGTTCCTGTAAGTTGAATGACTTGATATAACTTATATATAAATGACATGAATACTACCCAAATAATTAAGTTCAAAAAGTACACTTAATATATTCACATATTAATTGTTTTATGTTTTTTTGTTCTTTTCGTCTTTTTTTTTGCAGATGTCGGATCAGTTAATTGGCTACAGTTTAAACATAACTAAACGCTTTAAAGAACGAAACCGTTGTAAGCCAAAGCGTTTGTACGTCACTGAAACCGTTCCGCAACTGGAATTACCTGTTTTCCACGACATACAAAGCAACCACATTGTGGAGGGTTCAGCAAGAAGCAGTCGAAGCTCACTCATTGAGACATTGGCTTTGAGTGGAGCCAAGTCCTCATCGCGACACTTGCTTATAAGCTTAAGCTATTGGCAAACATTTGCGTTTGTCCTGCTCAAGATTCTCATCAGTTGAGGATCGCATTAGATTTTTAGATATTAAAGAAACTACCTATGTGAATATCGATAAGCAATATATTGACAATGAAGCACTTTATCCTAACATATGCTACACATTTAGAGATAACGTATTGTATATTAGCGTAACATAAACAATAGATTATATGTCGTTAGTTGTAGTTGTAGTTGATATTAATGTTGTGTACAAGTATCTTATATCTTTCTTACTATTCTATATGTAAGTAGTTGTTAATTTTAGAATTGTTACAACATGGAGGTTTACCAAAGTACTGAAGCTGTTTAATTGTAAGATTACGACGTCAGTCTGAGCTGTGATATTTTTAAGTGACACTTTTTATGAGTACGAAGTGTACAATTTCAAAATAATTGATGTGAAGTAGAATTCGTAAAATAATTTATTTGCAAAAATGCAATGTAGCAAACTAAAACTGAAATTGAAATAAATAAAAATAAAAATAAATACTAAAACTTCTTGTTTTTTTACTTGTTATTGCTAGAGTTTATATTTATATTCTTTAAAAATTGTGGTTGTGGTCCGGACATTCAAAAAAAAAAACTTGAGTGTGATATGGTAAAGTATTTTGTAATCATTGGATAGGAATAATATTCCCGGAGTACTTTGTATAAATATCATATATAATAAAACAAGTGTTTTTGTGATTAGATGCAAGTAGATAAGGTTAATTGTACGTTTTAAGCCTTCTTTCTTAACTTTAATCTACGTTTTTCGAGAATAAAGAGAAGCATTTATTTCTGAACTGATCTTATATCAAAGTTTTGGAAACAAGATTACACGTTCCAACAACATTTTAGTATGCGTTCAACACGTCTGTTATCCTGTTTGAAAATTATCTCGAATATAAACTGATTTGTTATAGTTTATAATATCACTTAGTTGATGGCGTTGAATATAAAATTTCATTATGCTATTACTAACCAAAGTGAAGTAATATCACATAAGAATTAATAAAAATTGCGTTTATTAAAAAAAGTTCCTTTTATTAAGTCAATGAAGTAAGCTAAGGCATAGCTAAGAATCTTTTATATGATATGGCAAGTTGCAGTGAGAAAACTACATGGATGGTATTCGGATGTATTGTGAAGATTTAAGGTGGGATGAAATGAGATGAGCGCTTGCTAAGATGTATTATATAAAGTTAGTTTATATTTTTGTTAAATAAAAAAAAATTTCTCTTCACTTCCCATAATAATTTCATTGTTTTTGTCATTTTTATTGTTATTTTCATTTTGATTGGGACTGGGACAGGCACTAGAATAACACGTTACTGGGGTTACAAGTTTTGCGAACTAAGTGCGGTAAAATTTCTAGTTTGAATGAAATTTCTTGGTTGGTTGGTTGCAGTGGCAAGCCATTAGATAATTTCCATGTATCTTCCATGTAGCGATTTTTGGCTGACTTAATCCATCCCGTCGAATTTCGATAATTTAATAGGTCTCTCGTCTTCACCGATGAACAGGCTGATAGACTGTCAAAGAAGTACCTTTCTAAAAACCGATTTCTTCTGGACGCTAAACCGGGCATTCACAGAGAAAATGTATTATGGTTTCTTTTTTCTTCGAGTTTCCACTACTTCTGAATTAATGATTATAAGGAATGCGTATTTTCTCTGAGTGGGTTCTTATACAGCAATGACCTGTGGTAAGCCTTGCAGTGTTCACTCTGCCTCTTTTGATGAGTTCCGAGGAACTATTTTTTTTATAGGTGGGCTATGTTAACCTGGGAGTTGTACATGACTTAAATGCTATCTATCTGTTATTGGCAACTTGCAGAAAGTAGAAGAAAGTACTTCTTTTAATGGTGGCTCGGGTAATATAAACCGGTATCGCTAGGGACACCGGAACAGGAAAGCACCAGATCAGGTTAAACTGTTAGCTTTCTCGTTTCCTTTGATGCTTATATGTTCAGAAACTCATTAAATTCCTTATTCCTTCCTTACAGAATAGATCTTTTTCTTATTTACGCGTTCATCGGTGAGTTTTATTATTGCATTTAATAAAATAAATGTTCAAAGTTTCCAATTATGAAGGTTTGCCGCTGCAAAAGATTGCCTTCATACAATTTTAGTTTAATTTGAATATTTTATATCCAAAATGTTAAATATTAAAATTCTTCATTTTGGCAAAATTAAAATAATAATTTTTCTTTTTGATATGCCTATCGACATATATTAACTTTTCAATTTTTATATTACAATATTGTTTAGCTTCTGTTATTAAAATTTGGGTACTCATTTTGGACTCTTATACAATGTTACCAGAAAGTATTTTCTTGGTAAATATGCTTGGCAAATTGTTTGCCTCCCTAAGAAAAAGGTTCTAATTTTAATTTTTCCAAAAAATTTTCCGTGGTATTTTTATATTTTATTCACATTTTAACAAATTTAGCAGGTCATTTCGTATATCTTTAGCCGTTATTCTGACAATCCCCTACCGCTTAGATCACTATATAAATATATAAATACAGATATGTTTTAATAAACTCTTCTCGTAATTTATGACGGACTTGAGTGAATTCCATAATAGAATATAAGCATTCAATGCCAAATATTAAAATAAATTTTTCATAATTTTATACACATTTAAAGAGAAACAAAAAATATGATTCGTAATAATTTTTTATATTTTTTATTCATTTTTACATTCAAAAGGTCAATTAAAGTTTAAAGTTTTATTGACTCGAAATAGCATATGCGACTGCGCCCTTCATCCTTTTAGAGCAGCTTAATTTCAAATATAAAAAGTCCAAATGGCAAGTTTTGTTTCAGTCTTAGCTACAGTCTCAGCCTCAGTCTCAGCCTCAGCTTCAGTCTGAGACCCAAAAGTAAAACCACACACAGTGAATATGTTACCTGAATTTAATCCGCTTATCAAATTTCGGCAGCCTAAGCATGCAAAAGGTTTTGTTAACGCTTGTTGCGTTGGTGCCTCCGCATCTTGCTTTCTGCTTTCTGTCTGCTGTTTATTCTTTTTATGAACATTTTTTATGATAACTTAAAACTACTGGTTTTTTCTTTGTAGCTTTGTATTCAGTGTTTTGTTCAGCTTATTGTGATGCTCCTCAATGTTCTTAAGAATTGACACTTTCATCTTGCCGAATATAGTTGATGTGAGTCACTACACTCAGAATGAGCAGAGGAGACTGTGAAGGGCGAATGGAAATTCCTTTGTATCCGACGCTTGCACTTGAAAACTCTTACATACGACAAAAACCTATTGCTGAGCTCTTGATTATGTGAAGTTCGGTAATGTGTAGTGCATTTGACGTTAAATAAAACTAAAGTGCTATGAGAACTATTAAATTGACATTGGCATTCTATAAGTACGCATATGAAAAATAGATTCATTTGCTGTGATGTGGGCATAGGTCGGTATAATAGTTATAAAATATCCGTTTACCCTCCTGCATTAAGGTTTTCAATTCGAGGTTTTGAATTTAATAAACTCAATAAATATTGTCAATTTCCTTGTATAACACGACAGTGAATAACACAAATTGGTTCAATTACGATTTCACACCCAACACGATTGCTAAACAACCCCAGAAACAATTCGATAAACAATATTTTAGCTGCACACTCCCACATCGTTAGAGAAATTCTCCATTACGAAAGCTGGCGTTCGTCAATCCAGCACGTGTTTCTGTAATTGCAGATACACGCGTCTTTCCAGGCTATAAAAATTCGTCACAGTTTCCTTCTGAAGATTTGTCTCATTTGCATATGCTGACCATTAACACTCTTTAAGTATGAGCAAGGATAAATCCTGTGATTGTTGGTAATTTTGAAAACAAAAAAATATGAAAAAATGGATCAGTATATTAAAATATCTTTGATATGCACAGGAATATACGTATAATAATATAAAATAGAGTGGATACATCCCAATGTTTGGATAAATAATACCCTTCGGCTATATAAAAAACGATAATTTTTGTTTTTTATCCTTAAACGCGTTGATCTGAATGGCAACGATTTCGAAAATCTTAATTCAATTTTTAAAATGAAATATTTTGAGTTTTAATGAGGTTCTAATTATATTAAAAATTCTGAAGTACATTGTTTGAAAGGCGACTTCGATTTTAAGCATTTAATCCAGAAGTGTTATTGGCTTTTATAGGCCAAACTAATGGATATCATTATTTATACCCTCTGCTCAAATAATTTAAATATATTTCTTTTACTTCAGAAAATAACTATTATTTAATTTGGGTTGAAAATGTGCTCGACGTTTTTCTTTTCACTCCATTTTGAGGTGCAATGACTTTGAAACGGTCAGTATGCAACTTACTGTAATTATTTTTTTTTTTTTGGATAACAGATCAATTGATTATTAGTGAATATTATATCATGACTCGTGCTTCGTTTTACAAGTTGATGTTAAGCCAGGCATAAAAGGAATATATTCGTTGAGTGTCCCATTTTTGCTAAGAAAATGAGAAAAATTTGTACTGCTTACATTAAAGGAACTTTATTGTAATTTATTACAAGAAAATAGTTGATTTCAATGTTAAAAATATTCATTCCTTTTTTTGAGAAAAAAAAAAACAGCATGTAAGGAATCATAAAATTGTTGAGGATTAAAGATCCACAACCCCGTTTTAATCACTTCCATAAGGCGACATACAAATAAAAATGCGATATTTGAGTGATTCATGAAATGTTCAAAAAATCTGATTTTAACGGAACGAAATCGATGATTTTTAAATATTACAAGTGAACAGAAAATAAATCACATATTATAGTATTGCTCAAAAATAGTCTTGGTTAAAAAGATGTGATAGATTGATGACACAAAAGATGACATATTTGTTGGAATTATAAGGTTATCATTTGTTATATATCTAAATTCAAATGTATTCAAATTTCAACTGCCAACAACAGTTGTAACTGAAGCATGATTAGGAAGAAAAAACCTAAATTATTAGGAGGAAGTGTATTGTGTTTCATGACTTTACGCTTTGCTACAGACCATAAGAGTGAGATTTTGGGACACCTATGCCTTAGTTTTGACATTGCCTATCATTGCCCTACTTGGTAGCATAAAAATGGCATAAAAATATTTCTATTAAATGTACGTGAATCAGTTCTTCAAAGATAAATTCGGAATAAAACAATAAAAAAATAATGTTTCTATCTGAAATATGTAGAGGATGGATGTAAATTGTATATTTCAAATATTTCAATTAATATAATTTTTTTAAACGTAAAGAAAAATTTTGCCTAGTCCTATAGATGAATGAAATGTGCAATTCCTTAAGTCTTAATTCTATTAATCGTAAAGCTGTATTACCAGAGTTATTTTTATAATTCGCTATAGTATTATTATATTCTATCAGTAATGTGTTGAGATTAATGTTTGTGAACTTATGTACACAAAATCATTATAAGGAGACAAAACTCTGCCTA